CCTACTTTCCAAGTCATCTAGGAAATCTGATGGAGAGAGACAGAGTGGGACAGGTGATAGGAAGGCAGCAGAAAGACACATGCGACATGAGTCCCTCAAATCTGGATTCTGACTGAGGACCATGAAGGTGACCATGAAGGTGAACATGCGGCTAAGGTACCATGTGACCTGGGCAGAGAAAGACAGCCCCTGTGGCCCAGGCAGAGACAGATAGAGATTCCTGGGAGCAACCGGGTGACTCACTGATTGGCCATTCCCTGAAACGTGGAAGCCATTCTTGGGATGGCTCTGAGGCAACACCTAGGCTCCCGTAAATCAATCTGGACTGAAAGGGAAAGAAGTGAAAGTGACAGGGAAGAAAACTGAGGAATCTGTCTTACAATTCTATTGGGGAGACGGTGGCCAGGGGACAATGGCCTCTGTTTTGCTTCAACCACTATGTGCCTGACAGGGTGCACTGCCAGTTAAAGGGAGAACCAACGTTGAACAGGGGTCCTTAGTTCACTTTTATACCCAGGGTACAAGGAGTGGGATGGGGTCTTGCGGGTTATTTGCTGATTGGATGAGGCACATATACTGGGCTGAGGGAAGAGTAAGGAAATACCTTCTCCCTATGGGGTAAGAGGGGAGACAGGTTATAAAGCTCAGGAGGACCTGAAATCTGTTAACAGTTACAACATGGGGGAGGGAAGGATGATAATGGTCTGGTTTTTCTGTTCTTGCATTTCAAGACCCTCCCTGGTTTTATCTGCTTTTTCATCCTTGGGTCACCACAGATGCCATGGTCTTAGTTTTTTTAATGTTGAGTTTTAAGCCAGCTCTTTCACTCTCCTCTTTCATTTTCACCAAGAGGTTCTTCTTTGGAAAATTGGAATGGAAACTGACCTTTCCAGTCCTGTAACCACTCCTGAGTTTTCCAAATTTGCTGACAAATATTGACAGCAGCAATTTCACAGCATCATCTTTTAGCTCAGCTGGAATTCCATCACCTCCACTAGTTTTGTTTGTAGTGATTCTTCCTAAGGCCCACTTGACTTCACCCTCTAGGATATCTGGCTCTAAGTGAGTGACACACCATCGTGGTTATTCAGGTCATGAAGACCTTTCTTGTATAGTTCTTTTGGGTATTCTTGCCACCTCTTATTAATTTCTTCTGCTTCTGTTTGGTCCTTACTGTTTCTATTTTCTTGAGATTTCTAGTTTTTCCCATTCTATTTTTTTCCTTTATTTCTTTGCATTGTTCACTTAAGAAGCCTTTATGTCTCTCCTTGGTATTCTCTGGAATTCTGGCATTCAGTTGGGTATACCTTTACCTTTCTCCCTTGCCATTTGCTTCTCTTCTTTCCTCATCTATTTGTAAAGACTCCTCAAACAACCACTTTGCCTTTCTTTTTCTTGGAGATGGTTTTGGGCACTGCCTCCTGTACAATGTTAGAAACCTCCGTTCATATTTCTTCAGGCACTCTACCATATCTAATCCCTTGAAATTATTCATCAGCTCCACTGTACAATCATAAGGGGCTTGATTTAGGTCATATCTAAATGACCTAGAGGTTTTCTCTACTTCCATTTAAGTCTGAATTTTCAAATAAGGAGCTCCCTTTTGGCTGCAAAGAATATAATTATTCTGATTTTGGTGTTGACCATCTGATTAGGTCCATATGTAGCATCATCTCTTGTGTTGTTGGAAGAAAGTGTTTGCTATGACCAGCATGTTCTCTTGCCAAACTCTTTAGCCTTTGCCCTGTATCATTTTGTACTCTAAGGGCAAATTTCTCTGTTACTCCAGGTATCTCTTGACTTCCTACTTTTGCATTCCAATCCTCTGTGAAGAAAACAACATCTTGGGTGTTAGTTCTAGAAGGCCTTATAGGTCTTCATAGGACCGTTCAACCTCAGTTTCTTTAGCATTAGTGATCAGGACATAGATTTGGATTACTCTGATGTTGATTGGTTTGCCTTGGAAATGAACCAAGATCATTCTCTCATTTTTGAGATTGCACCCAAGTACTGCATTGTGGATTCTTTTGTTGAATATGAGGGTTACTCCACTTCCTGTGAAGGATTCTTGACCACAGTAGTAGATATAATGGTCATCTGAATTAAATTCACCCATCCCTGTACATTTCAGTTCAGTGATTCTTAAGATGTCAATGTTCACTCTTGCCATCTCCTGCTTGACTATGTCCAATTTATCTTGACTCATGGACCTAACAATCCTGGTTTCTATGCAGTATTGTTCTTTACAGCATTGGACTTTACTTTCATCACATCCACAACTGAGTCTTGTTTCCTCTTTGGCCCTGCTGCTTCATTCTTTCTGGAGTTATTAGTAACTGCCCTCTGCTCTTTCCCAGTAGTATACTGGACACCTTCTGACCTGTGGGGCCCATTTTCTGGTGTTAAGTCTTTTTTTTCCTTTTCATACTGTTCATAGGGTTCTCTTGGCAAGAGTACTGGAATGGGTTGTCATGTCCTCCTCCAGTGGACCATGTTTTGTTAGAACTTTCCACTATGACCCATCGGTCTTGAGTGGCCCTGCCCAGCATGGCTCATAGCTTCACTGAGTTATCCAAACCCCTTCACCACGACAAGGCTGTCATCCATGAATGGGTCAAAAAGTATGTAACATCCTCAGATAAAACTCACAAAAATATGCAATACTGCTGTGGAGAAAATACATGGAGACCTAAATAAGACCAAAATAAAAGGAGAGCTATACCATGGTAATGGACTAGTAAAATTAATAATGTTAGATAATATTTTTTCCCAAGTAGATTTAAAGATTCAAAGAATCCCATCAAAGTCTCAGCATTTTTATTCATAAGTTGTCATGATGACTATCATTTATTTGAGTTGAGCATAGCCAAGACAGTTGAACAGGAACTTACAGAAGCTACTATGGAAGATGATATGGAGATTCCTTTTAAAACTAGGACTAAAACCACCATATGACACAGCAATCCCACTCCTAGGCATATACCCTGAGGAAACCAGGATTGAAAAAGACACATGTATCCCATTGTACCTTGCAGCACTATTTACAATAGCTCAAACATGGAAGCAACCTAGATGCCCATCAACAGATGAATGGATAAAGAAGTAGTGGTACATATACACAATGGCATATTACTCAGCCATAAAAAGGAACGCATTTGAGTCAGTTCTGATGAGGCAGATGACCCTAGAACCTATTATACACAGTGAAGTAAGTCAGAAAGAGAAAGATAAATATCATATTCTAATGCACATATACGGAATCTAGAAAAAGGGTTGTGAAGAATTTACTTACCAGGCAGCAGTGGAGAAACAAACACAGAGAATAAACTTATCGACATGGTGAGAGGGGAGGAGAGGGTATGGAAAGAGTAACATGGAAACTTACATTACCATAGGTAAAACAGATAGCCAACGAGAATTTGCTGTATGGCTCAGGAAACTCAAATAAGGGCTCTGTATCAACCTAAAGGGGTGGGATGGGGAGGGAGATGGGAGGGAGGTTCAAAAGGGAGGGGATAAACATATACTTATGACTGATTCATGTTGAGGTTTGACAGCAAACAACGAGGTTTTGTAAAGCAATTATCCTTCAATAAAAAAATAAATTTTAAAAAGAATTTATGGAAGGATACTTATTCTACCTTATCAAGATTGTTTCCTGCTGTGTTAACAAAGGGTGATATTTGTGACCCTATTCCTTGCTGCAACCTGCCTCCACACCTGTTGCAGATTCTTCCTACCTTTCTTTTCTTTTGCTTTTCCCCATAATGTTTATTTTCTAAAATGCTGTATAATTTTGTTCACGACTTCTTGTCTGCTCAATCTCTCTGTTAGGGAAAGCACACTGAGTGAAATCGCCCACCTTGGCCAGGCACCGCAGTAAACATTTGCATGAGTAATTTCATGACAGAAGGAGGTCCTAGTAAAGAACAGGAACTAAGAAGCCACCATCAGTCAGAAGAGTTCAGGAAAGGTCAAAAGGAAACACCACATGTCTGATCATCTCCCAGAATCCTTCTCCCTGGTATCCACCTTGACCGAGCAACTCATGCACCACCAGGAAGGACTCTTGAGTCAGAATAATTGGCCAAAGATAACCTGGAAAGTAAACCCCATCAGCATAATGCCTGAGACTGTGAGCCATGTGGCAGAGCAGTTCTCCTGGGTTCCCTCACCCTACTGCTCTCTGGGGGGGGGGGGNTGAGGGGTGGGGGTCAGGGTACTTTTTCCAATAAAGTCTCTTGCTTTGTCAGCATGTGTGTCTCCTTGGACATACCATTTCCGAATGCTAGACAAGAGCCCTCTTTTGGGCCCTGGAGGGGGTTTCCTTCCTCCAACACCTCCTTCCCCAACCCCTGACCCAGAAAAAAGTTCTCCAGAGCAATGATCTCTGTTTTGCTCACCAAGATAGGGCTTATCTCCAACAGGTGCTCAGTACACTTGTTGAAAGACTTAAGAGAAAATAGGTTTGCTCTTGTCAGTTGTCTACTTGCCTTACTATCATTTACAAAGATGCGGAGCTACAGGATACTATCCTGGCAAAACGGTTTCCTCTCGGAAGAACCAGGAACCCACGACCCAGCGGCCCAGGAAGCACCAGCACAAGCTCAGAGTACGTCTGGGCATGGGACAGACTCAGCCCGGCCTCTCCTGGCTGAGTTAGGAAGAACTACACTTCCCAGAATCCTTGGGTACTGGTGCGGACTACATTTCCCAGAGGGGATAGCGATAGCCCCTGAGGGTCCCGGACCTGCGTGGGTTTTGCCGCTGGCGTGAAAGGCCTCCCGGCGTGAGGTCGACCCAGGCAGCACCTCGGACAAGTCCCTACCTGAAGCAGCTGTCTGGCCGTGGCAGTTCCGGAGCATACCACTTGCTGCCCGCGGAACCCCTGGAGGCCTGGGCGAGGTTAGCGGCGGAGGGTCGGCGGGATGCAGGAGGGAGGACCGGGCCTCGGGAAGATGCTGCGTCGGGGCGCGGGGCAGAGGCCCAAGAGGCGAGAGCGGGTTCTTCGTGGGTGCCGGCGGGCCGTGGGCGGGGCACCACCACCTCTGTTTTCTTGGCGCCACCGCCTCCCACAGATGTGCCCTGAACGCCGCAAGTCGGGCACTTCCTCCCCATTCGTCGGGTTCTGCCACCCTGCTGCTTTCTCCCGACCTGTTCCCAGCGAGCTGCCTGCCCGGCTCCTGGGGCGTTTTAATTTGCTCTGGGCCGGCAGTGAATGAGAAGATTATTTCCTCCCCCTCACATCGCTACTGCCCTCCTCAGTGAAAGGCTTGTTTTGCGTGAGAAGTGAGTCACTGGTTTACCCCAGTGGCAGAATCAGGACTGGAATCCCGGTCTTTGGTTGTCATCCCGGTCTTTGGTTGTCATCCCGGTCTTAGGTTGTCGGTGCCTCCTCCCTCAAGCCTGCTCCCCGCTTTAGGAGAGCTGATGTGTTCCCTTCTGGAAGCAGGTTTTCTAGAAAAATCTGGAAATTGTTTCCTTAACAGGAGGGGGAGGAGTTGGGTGGGAAGACTTGGATGGAGAAAAGTTGTCACGTGCATGCAGGGAGGTTAAAGCATGTGCTCTGGAGCCAGCTGTGGTTGGAATCCTGGTACCACCCTCCTTTGGCTGTGTGGACTGGGGTAAGTTGCTCCCACTCTGCCCTCAGTTTCCTGATCTATAAAATGGGGGGTGGAGGGGCTGACGGTGGCAACTGTGCTCAGTGATGCAGGTAGTGCCTGACGCTTGGTGAAGCTCAAGGAGCTGCTACTACTGCTGATAGAGTCCTAGGACCTTTTCCTCTGAGTCAGGGAGAGAGCTGGGCCTGGAACAGGATGACCCAACCCTTTTCTCTGGTGCTGTCTATTCCGAGGTCCTGACTTCCTTCTCTGAGGGCGCATAGTATCATTCTCAGGGAATGTAATGGTTTCAGAGCTGCTGATTCTGAGGGGTGGAAAGAAAAGGGGCTTCCTCCTGGCTCCCTTTTTCTTCTCTCAGATCTGACTTCCAGAGACTTCACCCATCCTCAAGGGAAACTGCTCAGAAAGAGGATATGGCTGCCGAACAGAGGGAAACAAGGTCTCAGGTGAGTTCATTGCCCTCTCAAGTCAAGACAAATAGATTTGTTTTTTTATCTGCAAACTGGAGTTCTCCCCCTAATACCATCTTCGCCAGGATTTGGAGCCCATATCCTTTTCTCTTTGAAGAGCTGGCCCACAGAGGTGGATGGTGGATTCCATGGGGAATGTTCACTTCCAACCTTGCAAACCATATCTAGTGTTTCTCTTTTGTTTTCCTGGTAGACACTCTTTTATTCGTTAATCTCAGCTCACCATGTGATTACTAATTAGACAGGTAAGATGCCACACGTCTTGGCAGAGTTGCTTTCTGGCCTGGCCCCTTTGCTCATTCCTGTCCCTCTCCCTGCCCTTGGCCAGAACGCTTTTCTTTTTCTTTCCACCCCTGAGAATCCTCATGCTATCTTTCCCAGGTTTTTCCCAATCCATAGTTGTTCGGTTTTTTTCTCCCTTTTAACTTTCTGAATCATGTATCTCGCTTCTATCACTCTCTTGAAAGCTGATCTTGACCTACTATTTTGGTCTTCATTCTGTGGAAATGACGGTGGAGCCCCCATCCAGGTTAACCATGTTAGAGGGAACATAAATGGAGAGGTCTCTTGACTTCAAGAGCAGGGAGAAGACTCCTCAGGAAGTGGCAGGGAGGCTTTTGTGGGATATCAGTAGTGGAGAGTCAAGGTATACAGGGTATACAATTAGAAGTGGGGCTCTCAAGCCAGACAACCAGGCTTGAACCCATATCTTCTGTTGCCATTTATAGGCCTTAGGTATCTGCATCTCTCTCTGCCTCAGTTTCCTCAGCTGTAGAATGAGAATAACAACCATGCCTACCTCATAGGGTAGATGAGAGGATCACATGAAATTACAGCATGAAAAGTGTTTTAATCAGGGCTGGGCATCAGTTGTAGTAGCTGAACAGTATCATTCTAGTCCATGATACTATTACAGTTGGTAGATAGAAATTACTGTACAGTGTTTTTCAGACCCAGAAAATACTGTCAATTTTTACTTATTTTCATCTAATAATATTGATAGTTAATGTTGCTAGGGAATATCCCGAGGGCTTTACCTTTGTTCTCACTCTCATAACAGTGCAGCAGTTATTACCCCATTTTACATATGAGGGAACTGAGACTCAAAGAAGTCAAGTGACCTGAAATCAAACCCAGGTATGTCTGGCCTCTCAGTTTATGCTGGTTATTGTCCAGCCGTTCCTCTGGTGCATTTCTCAGAATGCAGAGTAGGCCCAGACCCTGTGTTACCGGAGCTTTTTGCGATGTGATGTTGCATGTCATTTGAAGCCACGAAATGTAGTGATTGAACTTATGAGGCAATGGCTAGGACCTGCCTCTGTATATTGAGCTGCTTGGCTATCACATTCCATTCCAACAGAGTCAAGCTGCTCTCTTGCCCAGAATCTTCTCCATCCCTATATAACATTCCTCCCTAACCTCACCTGCTATGTGGACTTGTATGTAAAACTCAGTGATGGGATATTTTAGGATCAGAGAGAGAATATACCAAGTGCTATGTTAAAAGGAGACTAGTTATCATCCTGTCTCTGCCATTAATAAAGTATGTGACTTGGAATCCTAACTGCCCTGGGTCTTGTGTTCCTCTTCTCTAAAATAAGGATTAATAGAAATGATGTGTGGTCATATTCAGCTACACATTTTCTTTTATTGTTCAAATTCATGCACTTTTCTTTTATGTTAGTTAGATTATAAATTTTTGACAGCAAAGATCATTTCTTATATTCCTCACCAATATTAATTTAATGCCCCATCTTACCATAAAAATATTGCATAATTGTGGCAAAAAAACTTTACAGAGAATAAAATATGCACATATATATGTGTATATGTATATATGCTTACATATGTACATAGATGTGTGTATGTGTGTGTATTTGTGTATATATTTTTTCCATATATGCAAAAAAAACCCACCATCTGGAGATAACTGCTGTGAGCCATTTGTTATGTATCTCTCAGCATCATTTTCTATGTACATATTTAATTTTTTTTCAAAAATGGGAACAAACTATACATACTGATACATAATCTGCTTTTTGTACTTAACATTATCATGAATGCCTTTTTAAGTCAACATTGTTGACTTATACCATCAGTTTTAATGATTACATAGTACTTTATATTGATGTGATAATAGGTAACATCTGAACCTTTAATATAAGCTTGGTATGGTTTTAAGTACATTGTATGCAGTATTTCAATTATTTACTAATTATTTGGTAGATTTTGAGGGGCCTTTTACAGAGTGGTTAAGAATGGAGCCTTAGCCATGCACCTGAAATTGGAATCCCAGCACTACCACTGACTGGCTTTATGATTTTAGACAGATGTCTTCCCCTCTCTGTGAGTTCTTCTGTGTAAAATGAGGATACTAAGAGTACCTTCTTCTCAAGGTTGTCATGAAGATAAAATAAAAGATTTACACTAAAGGTTAATATAAAGCTGTAAGAATAGTACTTAGCCTGAAGAAAGCATTCAATAAATGATAGCTATTTTATTTTATTTTTTTTTAATGATAGCTATTTTAATTGCCACTATTGTCCTCAGGCTTCAGAGAGCACACAGATAATGCCTTAAATTATTTAACCCAGCCTCTGTCAATGATTACTTAGGTTGTTTCCATTTCTTTGCTCTTACTAACACCATAATAAATGTCCTTGTGTGTGCATTTTTTTGCATGGTTCATTATCAAACAAATACAGTAATTTGGAGGGTTAAAGAGTATAAACATTTTAAAGCTCTTAATATGTTTTATTGAATTGCCTTAAGAAACATTATTCTAATGAAAATTCCTACTAATGGCCTTAATACCTCCACACATCTCTGTGGTTAACACAGGGCATGGTTCAGACTTCATGCTACTCAGTATATATTTGTCATAAATCAAGTGTTCATTAAACAAGTGACTTGAACCTTTCAGAATCTAGAATAAGATAAAAGCATTTCATGGTAGCCTTACTACTTCCCATTGCTGCTGCCTTCACCCTGTGTGATGGGTGGTCCTGGGTGAGCTAGGATACTTGTCTCTACAGGTGTCAGTGACGTTCGAAGATGTGGCTGTGCTCTTTACACGGGATGAGTGGAGAAAGCTGGCTCCTTCTCAGAGAAACTTGTACCAAGATGTGATGCTGGAGAACTATAGTAACCTTGTCTCATTGGGTAAGGAAATTTCCTCTGATCAGAAATTGGGATAACTCAGCACCCAATTCCTTGGATAAAAGCCATGGATCATCAAAATTTCAGCTGAATTTTGCCTTAGCACTGTACAAATTGGATCTCCAAAAATAAATCTGAAAAATTTTTCTTCCTCATAAGCATGGATACCTCGTGCCTCATGGATGGGACAGTCTACAGAACTGCACATTAGAAATTCCTTCATAGTTCAGGCCATTCCCACTATGATATATTTGCTCATTTCTAAGCAGAGAGCATCCTTCAGCCCCGTTATTTGACCCACCATTTGCCTTTCCCAGTTTTCTTTTCCAGCCAGATGAACACCTATATGGTGTTAATATTTTTAAAGGGAGTTAGATAGTGTTTTCTCATTTTAAACAAGCTACCTGTTACATAATCCTTTCCATAGATACCTGTTTATAGATATTAGTCTGGACATCTCACATATTTCTTTTTCTAGAGAACGCTAATGGTACCCTATTTCAGGGCTGCATGTTCATTGTGTTTCCCTCACATGTAACTAATTATTCCATTGGTAGGTTCTACAAGTCCCTTGCTTTTTCCCTAACCCACCCCTTTACATCATAGGGGCATAGCTTGAGCACCCCACAGAAGCTCTTTGTATCGTCCTCTAAGTTTCCGCTCAGAACCAGTTACCCCTTTGTGTCAAGACTGAGTTTGTTGTTGTTTTTATTTTTTTGTCTTTTTTTTTTTTTCTGTGAGCAGGACTCCCATTTTCTAAACCTGAAGTGATCTCCCTGTTGCAGCAAGGAGAAGATCCCTGGAAGGTAGAGAAAGAAGGCCCTGAAGGTTCCTCTCTAGGTGAGTGAGTGGGGAAGCTCTGCAAGCAGCAGTCTGGTAAACAGGTGGATGTGTGACTTGGAGATGTTGGTCAGTGAATTTTCTCCAGGTTCTCAGTCCTCAAGAAATGATGGAGAAGGAATGCTAAGGCCCCCAGTCACAAGCATCCTCTTTTTCTCTTACAATTACTTCCCAGGAGAAATCTTTCAGGATCTTTTTTCTTATTCTTTCCTGTTTCAGAGGAGGACTACATTTTCATGTATTCATTCAGCAGATTTAGTGTATTTAAGGAACTGTAGCTGTTTCATTCTGACTAAAGGCCAGGGTTATCGGAAGGGAAAGAGATGAGAAAGGAAACAGATTGGAAAGCCGGGTGGGGGCCACACTATGGGTGCCTTGGCACAGTTCTTGAAGATGAGAACTGTCTCTGGTTGACTGGAAATAATTTAAGAAGCTTTTGATAGTTTTATTTATGTGGGTATCACTCTGGCTGGGCTGGGTCTTTGCTGCTGTGGGTTGCTGTCTGGTTGGGATGCTCGGGCTTCTCCCTGTGGTGGCTTCTCTTTCCTGGCTCCCGGGCTCTGGAGCGCAAGCTCAGCAGTTGAGGCTCACGGGCCAAGTTGCTCCTTGGCCTGTGGGATCATCCTGGATCAGGGATTGAACCTGTGTCTCCTGCAGTGGCAGGCTGATTCTTTCCCTCTGAGCCACCAGAGAAGCCCCAATTCAAGAATTTAAGCTGAAGAATTATATGGTCCTTGATATTTTGGAAAAGTTGGTCTGAGTCTGAGACACTTTAAACATCCTGAGGTGGGTCGCTGTGTTGGCACATAGCAGCACAGTTAGAAAGAAGGAGCACTGGTGTGGGCTGAGCTCCAAGGCCTGTGAGAAACTAAAGCAAGTTACAGAGCATGATTATAACATGTCACCATTTACATGTACAGAAATTTACATGGTGTTTGTCTACATGCATGCATGTGAAAGTAGCTCAGTCATGTCCAGCTCTTTGTGACCCCATGGATATACAATCCATGGGATTCTCCAGGCCAGAATACTTCAGTTCCCTTCTCCAAGGGATCTTCCCAACCCATGAATCGAACCCAGGTCTCCCACATTGCAGGATTCTTTATACCAGCTGAGCCACCAGGAAAGCCCCTGGTGTTATACATGTTTGTCTACATGCATAATATGTGCTTAAGTGCTTAAAAAAAGGTCAGGGGACACTAATTACATGTGGATTTGGATCAAGAATGAGCATGAGGAAAGGGGACTTATTTACATTTAATTTTATTAGAATTTTCACAAAATATTCATGAAGTCCTTAATTATGTAATTTGAATTTAATAAGAATAGTCACTTTGAAAACATTGTTGGCCTTAGATTTGACTTGAGAAAAAAATAGAGGTGGGAACCTTCTAGAGATTATTGCATAATGTAGGCAAGACATTACCTGGAAGAAGGCGTGTGCTGTGGGTTCAGGAGGGAAGAGAAGGCCCCCTTTGTTAAGGGTATGTGATGAGTTCAGTGTGGGATGGGTTTAGCTTGAGATGTGAATGAAATATGGGTAGAGGTCAGCAGTGGACAGTTACAGAAGGATTAGGGGGTTGGAACTCAGCAGGGAGGTCAGGGAGCCATCAGTGTCAAGGAAGCATTTGAAGCCTTGAGCTGAGCAGGTGAGGGAATGGAGGAGAGGTCAGAGTTCAGGAAACCTCGATGTTCATGAGGTGGGTTAGGAAGGAAGATTCTGTGACTGAACCAGAGAAGTGGTCACCAGAGGAGAGAAAAGGCAGAGGCGGCTGTCATGAAAATTGGGGACTGACAGCTGTTGAACTGGGGAGGCTCGGGCATGGGAGAACCAGGTCCAAACCCTCATCCACTGCTTTCTTGTCCCCTGATAAACGGCAGTGCAACCTTGGACAGAAGGACGCAGGTCCTGCGCTGGCAGAGCTCAGCTGAGGACAAGACTAAGTGCACACAGGAGTGTGGAATGACAGATTCTGGTGGGGATCATGGGGGAAGAGCCGCAGGAGCTGTGAGAATGTGGATCAGGAGGGGCAGTGTGGCAGTGCTTCCCAAGGAAGGATCCTTGGATGTGAAAAGCGTTCAGAAGGGTGCGTGTGAGTCCAGAGAAAGGGAGCTGGTGTGTAAAGGTTGGAGCAGGGAGGAAGGCGGAGGGACCAGATCTCGCCAAGCCGGGAGCCCTATCACGGGACCTGGCCCATGCCTGAGAGCTGGTCACGGCCTCTGAGGAGTTGAAGTAGCCTGGCCCACAGGCTCAGGCTTATATCCTGCAAGGATCAGCTTGCAACCAGCCTGGAGCCACCTGGCGTAGATGTGGTAGGACTTGGCAGGTTGTCATCAGGTCCTGATGAGTCAGTGGACCCATCGAGATGTGGAATTGGAGGACGGCAGACAGGTTATGAGACAGGCTGCCTCGATTGCTAAGGTGCCCAAACCTTTAAGAGAGTGCTTTCTTCCCCATCCAAGGTGAGATCTTTTGAGGTCGGAACCACACTTGTCTCTCTTTATGACTGTCATTTGGGAGAAATATACTAATTTTGTGGGAACAGCTGAAGATGACCACAAAATAAACAGAGAACTTAGGCAGTAGGGAACCGGTAGAGAGTTAGGAGAGGCGCCAGTCCCACTGTCAGCTGTGGGCTGAGCCTGGCGTGAAAGATCAGAGGAAGAGAAGGAGGAATTATTGCCCTTCCCTTCACCTTAGCAGCCTCTGACCCATGAGGAGTCCTTTCTGAGTTAAGCTTTAGTTGGATTGAATTGAATGAAAGTACAACTGCCCAGAGCTGTCCAGGGAGATTTTGGAGCCAGAAAATAAAGTCTGTCACTATTTCTATTGTTTCCCTATCTATTTGCCATGAAGTGCTGGGACCAGATGCCATGATCTCAGTTTTTTGAAGTTGAGTTTTAAACCAGCTTTTTCACTTTGCTCTATAACTTTCATCAAAAGGCTCTTTAGTTCCTCTTCACTTTCTGCCATAAGGGTGGTATCATCTGCATATCTGAGGTTATTGATATTTCTCCTGGCAACCTTGATTCCAGTTTGTGCTTCATCCAGCCCAGCATTATGCATTATGTACTCTGCATATACATTAAATAAGCAGGGTGACAATATACAGCCTTGATATACTCCTTTCTCAATTTGAAACCAATCCATTGTTCCATGTCTGGTTCTACCTGTTGCTTCTTGACCTGCAAACAGGTTTCTCAGGAGGAAACAGGTTTCTCAGGATGGTCTGATATTCCCATCTCTTGAAGAATTTTCCACAGTTTGTTGGGATCCACACAAAGGCTTTGGTATAGTCAATAAAACATGTTTCTCTGAAATTCTCTTGCTTTTTCTGTGATCCAACAGATGTTGGCAATTTGATCTCTGGTTCCTCTGCCTCAGATAAGTTTATTTGCATCATATTTTAGATCTCACATGTAAGTGATATAATGTGGTATTTGACTTTCTCTTTCTGACTTACTTGACTTAGTATGATAATCTCTAGGTCCATTCCTGTTGCTGCAAATGGCATTATTTCATTCTTTTTAATGGCTGAGTAGTATTCCCTTATGTATATATACCATATCTTCTTTATCCTTTCATCTTTTGATGAACATTTAGGTTGTTTCTATGTCTTGGCTATTGTAAATGGTGCTGCTGTGATCTTTCGGGTGTGTGTATCTTTTCGAATTACAGTTTTTTCCAGACATATGCCCAGGAGTGGGATTGCTGGATCATATGGCAACTCTGTTTTTAGTTGTTTTGGGGAACTTCCATGCTGTTTTCTGTAGTGGCAGCACCAATTTATATTTCCACCAGCAGTATAGGAGGGTTCCCTTACCTCCACATCCTTTGCAGCATTCTTCCTTCTTTTTTAATCCCCTCATCATGTGTTACTTTCTCTCAGAGTCCTTACCACTGCAAAATAGTAAGTATTTTTTTATAATCTGCTCTTTCTCTGAATTATAAACTCCCTTGTGCTGGGTTGTCTGTTTCATTTGTACCTATTTCCCCAGTGCCTAAAATAGTGCCTGGCCCAAGTCAGTTTCCAGTTAATGAATGCATGAATGACTTGCTTAGCCTAATGGTGATGGAGACAGAAAGAAGGAAACCAGTTTCAGACATATTTAGGAGATAAATGCAGCAGGAATTAAAGATGGATTCAATATGGAAGATAAGGGATGCTGAGTTGTCAAGGTTGCCTGCTTGGCTTGTGACTTGTTTAGGGATGGACAATGATATCATTCACTGAGAGAGTGGTACTAGGAAATCAGATTTGGGGGACTGATACCAATTTGAGTTTTTTACTTTAGAGGGAATTTTGCTTTTTAAAAAAAAAAAAAAAACTTTCATTTTAAAATAATTGTAGATTCACATAAGAAGCATTGAAACTTTTTGGCCAACCCAGTAGCACAGCGAGATCCCTCTGGTCCTTCACCCAGTTACAGAACTATCTTCACCCAGTTACAGAACTATAGTAGAAGGTTGCAAATAAGATACTGATACAGTAAAGATATGGAAGAATTCCTTCTGCCCCCATATGGGTCCTACTTGTTACCCATTTTTAGACACACCCACTTTCCTCTGATTCCTTGTCCCTGTTTCTCACCTCCCCTTGTTCTTTCTCTTTTGTAACTCCTAGTCCATTTCTATAATTGTGTCATTTCAAGAATGTCATTTAAATGATCATACAGTATGTTACATTTTAGGATTTTTCTTTGCACTCAGCATAATTCTCTGGGAAATTTTTAAAGTAGTTTCTTGTATTAATATTTCATTCCTTTTGATTGCTGAATAGTTTTTTGTAAAGTACACATACCACAGTTATATAACCCTTCACTTGTTGAAGGACATAGATTGTCTCCAGTTTCTGACAATTAGAGCAAACATGGCTAAAAACCTTTGTGTACAGGTTTTTGTACAAAAGAAAATTTCCATGTCTCTGTGATAAACGCCCAGGAGTACAGTTGCTGGGTCATGTTGTAGTTGCATGTTTAGGTTTTGAAGACACAAACAA